ATTATTCATTTGGAGCCAATGATGTTAAGCGGTTTGTGACAGGCTGCACAAAACCCCCTTTATGATTGCAGCTAACCTTGCAAGATAGTTGCTGAATTTTTGTCCGGGAAGAATTCGAGCAGCATACAAACCTCTATTGCTAGGAAATATGAGGAGTTTTGGTCCGCAATTTTTTCCCAAGATTCCCTATCGAAGTCGAGTCAAGGGAAGTCTTTAAGCATTGCATGAATATTCTCTACTCGATCAGTTCACACGACCATTATATAAACCTTTGTAACTTGTCTTAAGTTGTGCATTTAAGGAAACTGGAAAAAATGATAATGGGACGATGGGGTGTGCGATAGACTTACCTCCACGTGGTGCACCTTGGGCAACGTATACTCATACAGCAAGAAAGTTTATTAACCGGCAGTTGACTTCTGACTTCAAACTACCATGACCCTACTGTATGTCATATTCGACTACTTTCACAGTACTCATCACACCTTATCTACTTTCGTCTTTGATGCACTCTTCTGTTCCCCCCCCCCCTCTTGAATTTTTTACACTTTGATGTTCCTTCCCCTCTGTGAAGACTGAAGTCAACTAAAGGGCTAATGATAACAATCAAAACGCCTGCCATTTGATATAATAATAATAATGGGACAATATTTCAAAGCGTTGAATCTTCATTCCTGATGCTTCCAATGGTATTTAAAGTGAGGAGGGGGGTTTGCTAGTGCGTTTGCCCTTTAATGTGATGTACCCTGTTTCTTTCAACTAGAAGTAGGAATATAATTTCTTAAGCAAATAACGGAGATCTAAACAGGAAAAGTGCCAAGGATGATGTTTGAATGGTCACAATGCGCAAAATTCTCTGACTTAGAAAAAGTAATGTGAATAGACCTCTTGATCTGGCCAATGGAGGTTCCTTTTCTTTGTTTTGGTTCACACTGCTCCGGTAGCAATGGGAATAGTGGCTCACAAGTTAACCAAAACTCATTATGAATAATTTCACGAAATCGGTACACATAACAAGTTTGCATATATTATTAATAATGGTAAATGTCTATAAAATCAAACAAAATCTACATTTCATCAAGTTTTGCGCAGATGATACGTTCTCTATTCGCTGCAACCTGATTTCTGTACCGATATCTTTCCGCAGCTCGTTTAAGTACTCCTGGTGAATTAAGATATGCCGGAAGGGGGTTCTTTTTAATATTTGGCACAAGACCTTTCAAAGTAATGATAGTGTCCAGATCCCTCTCTCCACTTTGCAGCAATTTCTTCACATCCTCTTCCATCTCCTCCACGTCATCTTCAAGATAGTCCATAGGGTCGAATTCAGGATCTGGTTTGACATGAGGAGTGGGGTAGGCAGGATTAGTGATCTGCAGAGGTGGACGCTCTCCTCTCGATTCGGCTTCTTTCCAAAACGCATGCAGAGTGGGTAGGTCTGTTTTGAATCGATTGCTTACTTTAGGGGCAGGTGGTGGAGCTCGGGAAGGCAAAAGGGGATCAGACTTGAGTCCTTTGTATTTGGCTACTTCATCGGTTACTCCAGAACAGGGAGAGGCGAGAACTCGTGGGACGTTGTTGAAATCTTTGCTGAACTCGACAACATGCATTTCGAGGCGATTAGAGACATCCTCGTAACTTTCCTACAAAACAAATTGTATTCAATTTGTAATTATAAGAAACTAGATTGAAATGGGAAAGAATAGCTAGTCTTACAAAGTGATACATTTCTAAGTGGTATGAATAGTACACAAAGTGAAAATGCGTGTCAATTGTTGAAATCAAACTAATAAAGTTCGTTCCAACACTTCGGATTTCGAAATCTAAGCCCGACACTTAAAATAGAACATTTCAATAAAGATTAATGTAAAGTTAACCGAAATATATCAACGAATGACTGGAGATTTACCAACTAAATAAACCCTATCTCATAGAAATTGAGATTGTACTATTAAAACGGTTTTTCTCTCGACCATTTCATCGCAAAAACCAGTCACACAGCTAAAAATATTGGACATAGAGTCCGAACGGGAAAAGAATCATTAGGGAGTAACGAAATATAGTTCCCTCACATTCTGAAGAGTATAAATTAAAACCTACACCTAAATCAAAATCAATCAGAAATACAATTTTATTTGAGAACCTTTCAAAAAAATCGGAGATGAAAGCCACGAAGTTGGGAAGAAAAACTACTCTAAAGTAGTACACTTGAAACACGACCATAATAAACAGAAAATTGAATCAGTTTAAAAAAAATAAAGAAAAACGTAAAGAAATTTGATTAAACCTGCTCATTCAATAGTCTCAAGAAACCTCGCACAATCGAGAGGTAGTTTTTGGTGTTTCCTTCCACTTTCGCATGCAAATCCTTGATTCCAATAAGATTGCAAAGCGTCTTGATCGCTCGATGGCAGACCAAACCGTAGCCTAAATGCAAAAGTAAGGAAAGATAAACATAGAAAAACAAAATAAATTAAATAAAAGAATAAACATAGAGGTGGAAGAAACGAACCTTCGGGCTTCGGTGTTGCGTATATTGTAGTGTGCCATTCCCGAACATGACCAAGGTGCCAAACTAAAATTAAAAAGATATTAGGGAGAAAGACCCAAAAGTAAAATTCATCCCTATTTCAAGACAACCACCGAGAAAGCAATAACTACACTAGCTTCAATATATATGAAAGCAGGCAGTGTGTAATAAAGAAAAAGCAAATTAACAAACCAAATCCAGTTGATTAACGAAGAACATAGTTGGAAAAATACAATCATCAAACAATAGGGCTCCAACAAAAATTCCGCATTCTGAAATGCAATCAACATACGAGTACGGCCTTCTTTAAGATTGAAGGAGATTAAATTGAGGAAAGCACGATTCTTTGCACGTTTCAGCGCGGCTCTCATCGTGACAGAGCGGGCTTTGCCAACACCACAAACGCCTTGACCGTTGCCAGCGACGACCAAAGCGGAAAAGCGTCGATAACGACCGACAGTCGCAGTCATTGTTGAAACACTCTATTAAAAGTAACAGACAATGAAACACTGAGAGGCAAAACTGGAAGAACATACTTTCAGTTCTAGAACACGGGTGTCGAACCCCGGAGACCCGGATTCTAATGGACCCAAAGATTGTCCACCCATACTGGCCCCAGTCCAACCACGAAGAAGTGGTGGTAGCTTAACTCTCTTCTTTTTAACGGCTGATTTATTTCTCAATTCCTCAAGCTTATTTAGGTATGCTTCATTTATATCGCCCTGAGTGAGAAAAAGAAATTATGATGGAATTAATAAAGAATAAGCAATAAAAACAACTCTTGTAAGCACTTTTTGAACTTTCTGTAAGATGTCCTTGCTAAAAAGAGGAGCATTCAATCCTGGCCACAAATAACCCTCCCGATTGCCACCAAGACGTTGACCACGATTAAGATCAATCTTCGGACGAGTAACACGCCGTTTACCACGAGCTCTCTTTTTAGTGCTGCCTTTTGGACCTGTAACACCTTCCCAGATTACATCACTTGGTAAAGACGTAAATATTGTGCTATTTCGAAAAGGAATTGGATGTATGCTTGAATAGGAAGAACTAAGAAGAGAGGTCGACACGAAATTCGTTGAAAAGGAAAGAGACTGAATTTGGAGTAAAAATGCATTATACGAAAAACATGTCTTTTGAGAGAAACCAGTGGACCCAATACGCAAAAAGGATGGCAATAAACGAGACATCATCCTCAGACGGTATATATGCAGTCGTTACACCAACTGTACACAGTCGATTAGATTATATTAAATTATTAATTTTGGAAACAATAAAAATTTATCAAATAAATAAGTTAATAAAGACTTAATTATAATAAAATTTTGAAGAATTCGAAAAATTTACTGTATGAAGTTAATTTTAATAACCTTCACATCATGGTCACTAGCATATAGGCACGTGATGAGATGGTTGGTTTTGCAGATATGGGTTCTGTCCACAGATGCCATTATGTGATACTCTTTTTAGGGTATTATAGTTTGCTGCACCCACTTATAACTATATTTGCTTGGACGTCATGTGTAGCATACTGTGCTTCATTGATATTTAAACAATTGAGATTTTCTGATTTAACTCTGTCAATACTTCTGCATTATTATTCTTACTCCTTACTGTTACTATGTACAATTTTATCAATCGTCAAATTCCGATGCTCGAGACTGTTTGAAAAGCCTACGTTATACCGGTTGGGTGCAAATTTTCGGGCACGCCGCTTTTACCATCTGTTGCTCGTTGCCACATTATCCTCTTTCATTGTCAGTATTGCTTCTTATGGGGAATTATCCCATCAAGACGTTATTTGTTGTGGAATAGTGCTAATATTGTCTGACTGGGGAAGTATTCCAGTTCTCATTAAAGTAAGCTCGAAGAATTCTTTTATTGCCCTCTTTCTAGGTTTGTCTCACTGCTCCCATGTCTGGATACAAGCACTTTGATCAAGAAAATTATTTCATGCTGCATTCAGATGAAATCAAAGTCTTTTTCTCAACCATGGATAATGTTGTCCTCGATCACTTTATGAGACTTTTACTATTGAATTGTTCCACCTATTTCTTACCTTCTCCAATTGGTGCAATATGCGAACGACTGAAAACCCATCTAATTATCGCTTTTCTGTCTTCGTTCACTCTACTTCCTGTTTTGACTAGGATCAATTTTGCGAATACTCCTCAAAATTCGGGATTCTTCAACTTTCGACTGTAAGTCATAGAGTTGAATTTCCAACTACTTTGTAGGTCGAGATTCGTTGTAAAAGAAAGCAATCGTAGAAGACTGGAATCGGATACAGTGCCTCCAACTTCATCTTCCAGTGCTTTTCAGCCGGTTTATTCCGGTCTTAGGCAAACTGTCCACCTCTTAATATCCGTTGTATTAGTGGTGGTGAACCTCTTTTGTTCTCTATGCTCCTTATTTCGGGCCCTTGCCTTGTCTGAATTTGACTTGGGGGATGGTAAATTTGCCATCTCTAGCCTGTGGATACTGGTTGGATCTTCCCTCATTTGCCTGACCTTCTACTATTTACTGAAGCACTTTCTTTCTCAAAACGGTACTAACGATTTGTGTGCGAGACGAATATCTCGACGTGAAAGACGTCTAACCAAATCAGAGCTATATGAACTTCCACCCATCGGTATTGAGGCAAATGTAAATGTAAGTTGTGATTATAGCTTCTCCAGTTATTCCTTTCCCTTTGCAGCCGCTGGAAAAGCATTGTGACGTCCATCACAGTGAAGTAAAAATTGATCCGGTTGATATGGATGCCCTTCCTATAGTTCCAAAGTTGCCAAAGCCTGCTTGTGCTGTCAAATCACGAGCTGATGAAGCAGATGCTGTAAGTTGCGTTTGATTTTGGATTTCTAGTTGCCCTTTTTTGTGAGCAATGTTATTGTTCATAAAAACGTTTTTTGGAGGAAACGTACCTGTTGTAGTAATTATGTAGACAGGTGATCACTATTCTAGATTTTGTCCATGGGTTGAAATTATTCCGACTGATTTGAATAGCACAATTTCCCAAGTAAGGAGAAGTAGATTTATTTTCCTGTTACAAAATTTGTGTGGACGTTCCTTTGTGAAGATATACAAGACTACCATTATGGTTTCCCATTTCTTTAATGGACATAGAGAACGGTTAATTTTTACAGGGCTTTACTGTCTGCTATTTGAAATTAGTTGTTGGAGAAGTAGGTTTTACGTTATCATTTGATTGTTGCCGTCATAACTATGGAGGCATTGACATTGTTAATTTGGATTTGCCAAATATACGTATAAATTTGTGGTCTTTATGTTATGGTTAGAGTATTAAAAGTTGTCGCAAAGTCTTTGATCTCTGGGACTGTCAGATTACCTAGACACTTCCTTAGGATTTCATTCAAAAAGGCTTCCCACTTAATCATGAATTTCAGGTCATTTGCAAGACCATTTCTTTATTTTAAGGTCTGATATCTGCAGGTGATTTCTAATATTTAACCACGAAAGCTGGATTCTCCTTTTACTGGGAGAAATACAATGCACACAGCTTCCTTTGAAGTGAAATAATACGCCTTACTGATTAAAATATGTTATCTGTAAGTTGCTAATTGCCCTAACACTGAAATAATTGTAAAGATGGATTGGATTTCTACATAGATTCCCGTTTGCCAAAATAACGGTCTATGCCTCCTGTGGGGGATTGAATTTTTTTTTCTAGTTGCGTCATTCACTTTACCTCCCTTTCGGTAAGTTCTGAAAATCGAATAAGCCGCATTACTTGCCCTCTATCGCACGTTCTTATCTTCATGATCTAGCGCAGTACTTGAGGGAAAAATACAAGCAGACATATTAGCTTTGAGTTAACTTTTTTGGAAAGGCTTAGTTAATGATCACATGCTCAGCTGTATTTTAAATTTGATCTAATTGGATTTGACCATTTGGATCACCTTGAAAATAATCGATGCAGCTTATTCTCTAGTGTAAGCCAGCTTTCGGAAGCCTGGTGAAATCATGGGTAACGAATGTTCTCACCTGTCTATATTAATCTTTGTTGTTGGATGACACTCAAAATTCGCTAAAATTGTTGTTCAATATGTACGAACTCTGTCGTGTTCCAAATTGAGGAATTGAACTGTTTCCATTTCACGTTTTCAAACAAATCAACGCTGTTGTCATTACTGATTACTTTTAAGTTAACAGTTATGCTCTTGCATTGTGCATTGTATTGAGGATAATTCTTTTATTCCCTAAATCCATTCAAACGCGTTTCCTCAGGTATTCGATCAGACATGTTATCTTCCAAATTTCTGTTAGTGTAAAGCAAGTCTGCTCACATTTCAATATTTTACAAGGGAGTCCTTTGAATTCTACATTATTTTAACAAATTGGCTACCTGATTGATTCAAATCATTGAATGTCTTGAATTTATGTTGAATCAGGTAGCCTTTTGGCTTACTCGTATATCATATGCCTTCAAAGCTCTTAATATTCAATTGTTGACAGTTGTATTGAATCCTCAGATTGGGCACATCTTGTGAGTGCTCATCACCTTATTATCCATTTTAAACTCTTTAAGTTTACGGGTGCGAAACCAGTTTCACTTCATTATTGGAAATTGGCTCATAGAAAGGATCCCATGGTGGTATTTGATGTCGCATTTCGTTGTATTTGTTGTACTTCTTAATTGTGGACATAACATAATAAGTCAAGTGAATGATAAAGGAGATTTCATCAAGTTGATGGGGAGAGCATCGTGATGGCATTGAAGCATGTTCTTGCATATTTGAACTTGGATTACTTATCATTGACTGAGGTGTGCGATAGGCTTACCTCCACGTGGTGCACCCTGGGCAACGTATACTCATACGGCAAAAAAGTCTATTAACCGGCGTTTGACTTCTCACTTCAAACTACCACGACCCCCCTGGTTGTCATATTCGACCCCTTTCACAGTACTTATCTTACCTTTTTCTCTTCCATTGTGTCTGTCTGCCTCTTCTAAATCTGTGAATCGCTCTTCTGTTCCCCACCCCTCGACTTTCTGCTAATTTGATGAACCTTCCCCCTGTGAAGCCCGAAGTCAGCTAAATGGCTAATGATATCTATCAAAACCCCTGCCATTTGAAATAAATAAATAAACTTATCATTGACTAACGTTGCAAAGTTAAAATTCCACCCTTCGTCCACATGTGGAACTTCATGGTGTTCTTTGTAGTTAGAGTATTTACTATCTAAAACTCCAGACATAGATCTAACTTCTTGAGTTTGTAATAAATAATGTGTGCCTAAGAGACTATCAACCTTAACACTAACCATGAGTTCAAGGTATTCCCATGAGAACCATTTATTCATTCATTCATTTGATCAAGTCGGAATTGAGTCGATCAAATCTTTTTGTCTTCTTCCGTTTACTACCTCCCTCTATTATGCTATTTATTCCACGTTGAATAGTGATGCAGTGCTCTGTTATGTCCCTGCTGTTTGCTTGATTAAGTATTAGCTAGACTGTTTAGCCATTGCTTCTTCCTACTGAGTGAATGCTCTGAATGTAGTCATTATTTAAGCGTTACTGTATGCACCTGTTTAGATATCGGCAATGTCAGACGCTGAAATTCTTCGTATGGTGAGTGAAGGACGTCTTAAGACGCGTGAATTGGAGACAGCTGTGAAAAGTTTGCCACGAGCTGTGAGTCTTCGTAGGCAGGATCTGGCCTCTCGACTCGCCAACCCATTGGCGGTGAATGACATTCCCTACATAAACTACGATTACCGCGCTGTGATGGGTCAGTGTTGTGAGGAGGTAGGTCCCAATTGAATTTCGGAATTTCATTTACTCCCATGGGGAGTTTTGTTTATCACTACATGAAATGTTAAATGTCTGCTTAATATGAAGCGATGGAGTTAAAGTAGTCTATTTTATAGTGAGTTGGATATTATCAATCCCCACGCTTTTTTGTTTAAATGCGTTACCTTTAAGTTAGTAATATGTGGCCGGGTCTCTTGAATTAGATTGTATAGTTCGATCAGATCTTGATTACATTTTCATAGTAATACAACTTCTGTAAGTTACTTTCATTATACAACACGTTATGTGAGTTTTAAAACAGTTTAAAATGATTTGGTTAAATTTGGAATAATTACTCGTGCAAAATTAATTTTTTAACTGCTATAAAGTTAATTACAAATGGCAGGTATTTTGATAGTTATCATTAGCCCTTTAGCTGACTTCAGGCTTCACAGAGGAGGAGGGGGAACATCAAAGTGGCAAAAAGTCGAGAGGGGGAGGGACAGAATATTGATTCTCAGATGTAAAAGAGACAGACAGGCACAAATGCTGAGTAAAAGGTAAGGCGAGATCTGTTGAAATGGTGGAATATGGCATACATTGGGGTGATAGTAGTTAGAAGTCAGAAGTCAACTGTCAGCTTATAGACTGTTTTGCCGTGTGAGTATACGTTGCCCAGGGTTTACCACGTGGAGGTAAGTCTATCACACACCCAAAAAATAAATAAATAAAAGTAAAAAACTGCTATAAAGTAGGGATATTTATTTTATACAGTGCGCTCCACTTCGAGAAGGCAGGCGTTTTGAATAGCTACGGGCTTCATAGAGGGGAGGAACACCAAGGTGAGAAAAATTCGAGAGGGAGAACAAAAGAGTGATTCACAGATGGGGAAAAGACAGACAGACACATAGGTAGAGAAAAGGTGAGGTGAGTACTGTGAAAGTAGACGAATATGACATACAGTGGGGTGATGGTAGTTTGAAGTCAGAAGTCAACTGCCGGATTATAGACTTTTTTGCCATATATTATATTTTTGTATGTTATTTAAATCTCTCAGTTTAAAGGACCTCAACAGCCTGGCGTGCTCTACATGCAAGTAATGACAATGATCCACACGCCATTTAGGAAGTGTATTTGATAGATAATCTTGGGTGGTGATTGGTATTTTAGAGTCTTTCTGGTAAGAGACTCGAATTCACCCACCATTTACTCTATTGTGGCTGACCATTCCTCTTACTGGGTATGCGATGATGGGAATTGAAACCGTGTTCTATACCTTGGCAGATGAGCTCGGGGGAAATTCTGCCATCAGCCGGCATTACTTGCTGGTAATCTATTAGAATGAATACAAGTAATCTGTGCTCAAACAATGGTCCATGATATTAACAAAAATTCTGCGGTTTATATTGATCGGGATTTGTGGAGAATGACTGCTGGCTTTCTGATTGCAGCCAGACTACTTTTTTTCATTCTGAAGTGTGTGTGTGTGTGTGTGTGTGTGTGTGTGAAGGTAATAATTGTAAAACAATTGCACCTGCATCGTAGCCCGTCCATTTCGTTCAGGAGCGTATAATGTACCTTAGTCCTTTTAAACAATTGGGAGCGTGAGTGTAATGTAAATAATAAACACTATAAACACTCAAATCAAGTAATTTTTGCTGTGTTATCTTCAATTGCCACGAGACCTCGAAGTTGGTTGAATAGAGATATCAGTGATGATTTTCGAATTACTGGATTGAGTTACATGGTTTACGTGTAATGCATGTCAATGTTCTATATGCTTGCTAAGAGTTTTAGGGACGATCAGAATTCAAAGATCAATTTTACCGAGCATTTTAACTCCGATAACTCGTAAATCAACGACGTCTCTTTTCTGATCCGTGGATAAATGCCAATTGAAATATGCTCTCTGTTCTAATCGCTTTTTTTCCTATAGGTGATTGGCTATATACCGATACCCTTGGGCAAGGTTGGTCCTCTGCTATTGGATGGAAAAGAGCACTACGTCCCAATGGCTACAACTGAGGGTTGTTTAGTTGCAAGCACGAATCGTGGCTGTCGGGCTCTCTTTCTGGCCGGTGGTGTCAAAACTGCCCTCTTCAGGTAATCTAAACTATTTGGGATTATTTATGAGCACAGTGTGCATTATATTATCCGAGCATTGTGAAGATACAACGCTGAGAAAGAGAGAGAGGGACCCGGGAGTTTCAGTCCCCTTTGATTTTTAATTTTTACTTCGTTTCTTCAGGCGAAAAGAATGGGTAGTATTGATTTTTAAAGGACCTTTAGATGGGACTCGCATTGCAACTGGTTTTGACATTAATTGATGTCGTAATCAACTTTGTATTTCGCGATAGTAGAAGATTTCGATCTTTACAGAGGGGAAAAGTGATCCTGTCAACGATTCATGAGCATGCCTACCTTTTCCGCGAGCTCTCTCTTATACGATTGACAGTATGTCATTTCAATGGTTCCGCTTCAGATTCATTGAGTTGATATGGCCAATCCGTCCAGACCAAATATTTTTTTTTCAAATTCTTCGCCT